AGGCTGGGGAAAAGGCAGTGAGAAAATCCAGGGAGTCCCAGTGGGGCTGAGTACTTGAGCAAAAACTAATAGTGTGGAAAATGCCACTGCTGCAGCTGGGGAAGAAACAGCCAGTGCCCCACAAAAGTGGCTGGGGCTGGGTGGTCTTGGAGAACTTGGGGACTTGTTGTGGAGGAGAGGATGGAGGCTGGGACTGGGGCTGCAGCAGGCAGGATGTCCTACTCTGCTGAGGTGGACAGGGAGTACTGGCTCCTGGTCTGCAGAAGGGTCCTCACTGGAGGGGACTAGGTGGTCTTTGGTCCCCCGTTCTTGAAGTGGGGCAGAGCATGTGCTTCCCTGTGCATGAACACGTGTGCACGTGCATGACTGGCCACCCAGGGAGAGGTGGACAGGGCACAGCACCCACAGAAACTCCCCTGAGCATGGGCAGTACAGGTGGCCTGATTCTGCCTCTCCTCTCCAGCTGGTCAGGATTGATGTCCACTAGTGGACTGTATATATATATATGTCTGTGTGCGTGAGTATGTATGCCCCTATATACACCCAATAGGGATGACTCCAGTAGCAGGTGTCAGTCTGTCCTCTAGCTGGCTCCCAGCTGGGCAGCAGCACAACCCCTGGCTCTTGGGACTTCCCCCATTTCGTACATTGGGTGGTTTGAAGGTAGGCAGGGCCTGAAGGATGGGGGCAAAGCATGCGCCTCTAGCTTAGGTAGGCTCAGGTCTTGAATTTTGGGTTGGGACTGTCCAACCATGGGCTTCTGCAGCTAAGTCTCCCCGAAGTGGATGGGTGCATCCATCCAGGCTGTCTGCCTCCAAGCTGGGTCCTTGCCCACCCTGCTTTGGCCACCACACCAGCTCTCACAGCAGCAGCATGGTGAGATGTGGGGCTGGCAGGGCATCCCCCTGAGAAGTGCCCAGGAGAGAGGAGAGCCAAGCCAGGCACTGCGGACCCAGGGAGGGATGGGTGCTGCCGCTGCACCACGCGCTGTTTACTGTTCAGGCTACAAGGCAGCTTTGTCTTCTCCTCAGGACACTCTGAATAACAACTCTCTGGGGAAAAAGCACAGTTGGCAAGAGCGGGTGTCCCGGTCGTCATCCCCTCTGAAAACGGGTGAGTTCTTGGGCTGTTGGCCAGGGGTAGCTCCTTGCACCCTTCTGTGGCTCTTCGGAGTCCGGGGCAAGTGGTGCTAAAGCAGGAAGTTGGGGAAAACATCCCGCACGGATGCAGGGTGCATGTCTATCTTGAGTCTGGGTGGCACCCTCAGCCACCTTCCCGGGCAGAGAGCATCACCCTCCGCAGGGCTGTCAATGTTGCTCTCCTTCCCCTCCAGGTGAGCAGACCCCTCCCCACGACCATGTTTGCCTAAGTGATGAGGTCAATCACCAAAACAGCACAACCTCCACCAAAGACCGGGGCACCTCCACGGAGAGCCCGTGCCGGCGCACGGCAGCCACCCAGATGGCACCTGCCTGCGTCGCCTCGTCCCGGCCACCCGAGAAGCACCAGGCCACCAGCCGGGCCCCGCCGCACGGCGCCAGCGTGGTGGTGGTGACGTCCAGGGACCCCGAGGCCCACCGGGACCGCATCCGCTACCAGACCGATGTGAGGCTGGAGGCCACGGAGGAGATCTACCTGACACCTGTGCAGAAGAACTCGGACCCACTGGAGACCGACAAGCCATTCCTGTCTCAGTCCAGCGAGAACCGCATGTCCATCAGCTCTGACATCGACACCTCCAGCTATTCAGCTCTGGCAGGGAAAACCAACCCTTCCATCAGTGAGGAGGATGAGGTGCTGGACTACATGTCCTCCCCTGACAAGACGAACCTGCCTAGGGCCTCCGGTGGTGCTGGGAGTGGTGGCTGCCGGCCAGGGCACAACCTTCAGAGAGCCTCGGTGAGTTCAGACACCAGCGCGCTCTCCTACGACTCAGTCAAGTACACGCTGGTGGTGGATGAGAACGTGCAGCTGGAGCTGGTCAGCCTCAAGCAGTGCTACTCAGGCTACAGTGACGAGAGCGACTCGGCCACTGTCTATGACAACTGCGTCTCCTCGCCCTACGAATCGGCCATCGGCGAGGAGTATGAGGAGGATGCGCTGAAGCGTGACTCTGTCTGTCTCTCGGAGGACTCCACCCCTGAAGCAGACATCCACTTCTCCAAGAAGTTCCTCAATGTCTTCATGAGTGGCCGGACACGCTCCTCCAGTGAGTGCTGGGCACCGGGGGGACGTGGGCTGGTGGCTGCCTGTCCCTGGTCTGAGGCTGAGGGCATGCTCAGGAGATGGGAAGCCACCAGCAGACACTGGCACCAGCTCTGCTTGCCACAGCCTCTGGCTTTGTCTCTGGTGGCTGGGGAGGCATGAGCGGGCTGGAAAAGCTTTATGACCTACAGCTAGGGGTGGCAGGAAGCATTTCAGGCTGCTTTTTTGGCTAGCCTGAGGTATAGCCATGCTGAATGTGGAGGCTGAGTGGTCTCACACAGGGATAGAGCATCCCTCCTGAAGTGCCACCCTCTTTCCCAAGCCTGGAGGAGCACTGGGACTGGTGGCATGCCCTGGTAGGCAGGGCTTCCCGTGGTGCTGCTGGTCTCACAATGCTGGTGACACTGGCTGTCACAGCTTCATGGGTTGGTGCAGGGAAATCATGGTCCCAGTGGGTACCACAGGGCACCAGTGCAGCTGCTCTAGCTGTGCCTTCCCCTCCTGTGGCACTGCATGGCTTCCTCTCAGCTGAGTGATCCCCCAGGAGCCTCAGCACCCTACCTGGCCCACATCCTTCCCTCAGCTGTGGTGCTGACTCCTCAACACTGAGACATCCCCCTCTACCTTCTTCCCCAGGTGCCGAGTCCTTTGGCTTGTTCTCCTGCATGATCAACGGGGAGGAGCAGGAGCAGACCCACCGTGCTGTCTTTAGGTGAGCCTGCAGGCACGAGCACTGCCCTGAGCCTCTCACAGGGGAAGGCTGGTGCTGCCCTCCCACCGTGGTGGGGTCAGCCCAAACCCTGGTGTGTTCAGCTTTTGGGAAACTCTGGAGACCAAACCACTGTGTGTAGCTTGTGTCCTGTCCAGGAACAACATCTGCCCAGGCTGCTGCAGGGGCAAGACCTCTGAGGGCAGCCAGGACCTCTCTGGGGACAGTGTAATAGGGACACCCTTGCCTTAGGTACCAGAATGCTGCTGCCTTTTGAGATTGAACCTGCTCAGATGCTTTATTCAGCATCTCAGGTCCCCAGGGTTAATTACACCTGCCAGGGTGCTGCCTGCCTGAGTGAGTGGTGGGTTTTGCATTGCCCCAGCCAGGTGCTGGTGAGAAGGCCACCAGCACTGCCACCAGGCTAAGTGCTTGTGCCTCCCTAACCCAGGTTTGTGCCTCGCCACGCGGATGAGCTGGAGCTGGAGGTGGATGATCCTTTGCTGGTGGAGGTGCAGGCAGAAGATTATTGGTACGAAGCCTACAACATGCGGACGGGTGACCGGGGCATTTTTCCTGCCTACTATGCTATCGAAGTCACCAAGGACCCAGACCATGTAACAGGTACCAAGCCTCTGTGTGCAGCCTGCTCATGTTCCCCGTCTCATGTCCACCTCCTCTCTGCTGAGCAGAGTCTGGTGATGAGCAGGGAAACGGAGGAAGGACCAAGCTGAGCACCTGGTGGGGAGTGATGGGCAGCTTCTGGTGTGATGCTGGGAGCTGGTGCTGCAGAAAGCCTTCCCTGGGCAGGGAAACATGCAGGGGTGGGAATATGGAGCAGGAAGGTGGTTCTCAGCCCATGTTCCCGGTCATTGATCCCTGCCACATGCTTTCTCCTGCAGCTCTGGCCAAGAGCAGTGACTGGGTGGACCAGTTTCGGGTGAAGTTCCTCGGCTCGGTGCAGGTTCCCTATCACAAGGGCAATGACGTGCTATGCGCGGCCATGCAGAAGGTACGTCTCACTCCATTCCTCCTCCTGCCAGCAGGGCAGAGCATCAGCGGGGAAGGGAAAGGGTGAGCAATCATATATCATCACTACTGATGAGTGCCAGGGCTTTGTCTCTCTGTCTTCCCCTCCCAGATTGCCACCACACGCCGCCTCACTGTGCACTTTAACCCACCCTCCAGCTGCGTCCTGGAGATCAGCGTGCGTGGGGTCAAGATCGCCGTGAAAGCTGATGACTCCAAGGAGCACAGCAAGGTTAGTGCCCCGCTTGCCACGCATCTTGTCCCTTCCCCAGCTGCTGGCTCATGCCCTCTGTGCTACAGGTCATGTTTGCGTATGAAAATGGAGGATCTCTACTAATCCAAGGGCGTGAGAAGCACCATCACTGCAGTTGCAGGTGCACTGTCAGGGGCCCGTGTGCCTCACAGGATCCCAGCTTTGGGCCCTGCTGCCAGCTGATGCCCTCACAGATGCCAAGAACGTTGCTGCACCAGGATGCTGTGAGCTGAGCTGTGCTGGCAATCTGTCAGCTGTTCCTAAACCTTTCTGCTACTATTTTGAGTGGTGTCCTCCAGATCTGCCCTGTAATCTCTTTAGCTGGCTATGGCAGGCTGCTGATTAGCATTCTGCATAAGTAGCCTAGCAAAGCGTGGCTTGATGCTGGGCAGAGGCAAATGAGGGCTCTGCAGCAAGCCTGTGGGGAAACCTCCCCTACAGCTGTGGGGTAGGAGCAGTTCCTGGCTGTGGATGTTGTAACAGGCAGCTGAGCTGGGGTTTCTATGAGGATTCTAGAGGATGCCATCAACTTGGTTGCTTCTTAAGCTTATTTATACAAGTTCTCACTTCTGGTTGGGACCCTTTGAACACCCAGGCTTGAGTGACTTAGACTTAAATAAGTTATCCACTCACCTTCTATCTGCTGGTATTCCCGAGAGCCTTTTTAGTGAGGGAGAAGGGCTGTGTGCTCTGGGCAAAGAGCAGCACTGACCTTAGCCCGAGTACAGCCTAACCCATGGCCTCCAGGGAAACCTTGCAGGAGCTGCCTAGAAGAGTTGCCTGTGTTGAGGTGCCTGGGGCCATCCTGACACTGCTGCTGGTAGCAGCCCAGGATCAGATTCTGACTTATTTCACTGCTTACTCCACAGGGTGATGGGGAGGAAAGCTTTCATGGTTCCTTTCTCTGTCCCCTAGGTAAACAAGTGTAGCCATTTTTTCCAGCTGAAGAACATTTCCTTTTGTGGGTACCATCCAAAGAACAACAAGTGAGTAGTGGGGAGGTGCAGGGTGAGACTCAAAGCCAACAAGTGGGCACGGAGGCTTCACTGCCTTTCCATTCCCTGAGGGCAGTATGGCTGGGGCTGGGAAGGGAAAGGGAGGCTTCCTAGTGCCCTGATCCTGAGTATTACCCTTCTCTTGCGAGCCCAGTGCTGCAGTTACATGTAAAAGCAACCTTTGGGTGGGAATTCTACTCCAGCTCTGAGCATGGGCCATGGCAACTGGTGGTCACTAGGTTTTGGGGGCAGGGCTGCAGGTCACAAGCTCCTATGCTCCAGGGTGGGTATACCTCAGGGATGCTGGAGTACCTGTGCCTACTTGTCTGCTGGTCCAGTCATACATAATTTCTTTGCCCTCAGATATTTTGGGTTCATCACCAAGCACCCTGCTGACCACAGATTTGCCTGTCACGTCTTTGTCTCGGAGGAGTCCACGAAGCCGCTGGCAGAGTCTGTAGGGTGAGTCCTGGCTGGACGAGGCAGGAGGCATGAGGCAGTCAGGCTGAATCTTGCCACTCCCCGTATGTATGGGGCTTGGACCTGGCTTCAGGCTGGCACCTCTTCCCTTGAGTGAGAGGCTTGGGGCAGGAGCCAGGGCTTACAGGGTTATGGGCAGCACATTCCCGACAGCACTGGAACAAGTGCCAGTGCAAGGATTTGCAAGCAGATGGCTGGAAGTCATGCAGCAGGGGATCAGAGCAAAGATGGAGACCCTGTGGTTCTGATGACAGCTCTGGGTGCTAATGCAGGAAGGGCCCAGGGCTGGAGGATAGGAGGTCAAACTGGCAGTAGGGCGGGGAGGAAGGGCGAGAAGGGAAATGTGGCTCTGTAAACGCCTCGTGGGGAGAACACTGCTCAGCTGTGTCTGGTGCTGTGTTGCAGGAGAGCTTTTCAGCAATTCTACAAGGAGTATGTGGAGTACACGTGCCCCACGGAGGACATCTACCTGGAGTAAGGGCTGGCACGGGCATCTCCTGCACAGCCAGGGCTGCAGTCTTGCCCCTTTCCCGTGTTGTGTGTGCATGGACAAGAGCTGCTTTGAGCCTGGAGGAGGAGCGGGCCCGGGGCAGGGCTCCAGGGGCACGGAGCACCGCCTCTTTTCCTGACTCCCCCTCCTCGGGCTGGGAGGGACGGGAGGGGGGAGGGCTGGACAAATTGTGTTTATTGTATAAAATACTCTTAGTTTATTCTATTGGTGAAGCACCCGCTGAGTGCCCTGCCTCTGAGTGGTGGGAGGGGTGAGCAACAGCGTGCTCGGGCCCCTTCTTGCTGCAGGCTGGGGTGACAGCATCTCCTCCTCGTGACCGTGGCCCAGCTTCCCGTCACATCCCTCTGGGGTGACTTTTAACGCAGTGGCAGAGTTGGACTCTCGCAGTGTGAAGGCACAGCAGCTACAGCAAACACAACCCACGTGCTGGCTCCTGCCTGGGAGATGGGCTTGCCCTGGGTGGGCAGCACCTCCCTGACAGGTGACAGAGAGAGCCCCAATATCTCCTCTGCCAGAGCCAGCACCATTATGAGCTGAGACAGCTCACCCCTGCCTCCATCCCCCTCCCTCCCCTCTTGTATCTGTGCCCTGGGGAGAGAGAGAGAGAGAGAGAGAATCCCCCCCATACCTCCCTGCAGTAACTAGACCCTTGGGAGGGGAGCCTTTCTCTGCCTCTTTCCTCCTTCCCCCGACCTGCAGGTGACAGAGGCAGTGGCAGGGCTGGGCCACCCCAGGGTAGTGGGCTTGGCCCCTGTGCAGAGCTGGGTCCCTGTCAGAGGCAGGACAGGGAAGGGCTAGAGCCTGCAGGGAGCATGCACAGCGCTGGGGAGGTAGAGGAGCTCTCCTGGCCCCTGCAGCCAGTGGCCTCTGTGCTTCAGTTGGATCTGCTGTGATGGCAACAACTATTAAATATGATGGTACATGGAGAAGGTTCATGCTGTGCTGTTTGTGTTCCATGAAAACGGATTTGGGCCCTGGCTTGTTCTTCCCCATGAGACCCCAAGAAGAGCTGGAGCTTCACAGGTTGGATCCTGGAGCCCCAGTTGCAATCCCTAGAGGTCAGAGATCATCTTACGACGATCAGAAGGGACCGCTGGAGATCATCTGCTCCAGTCCCTGCCCAAAGCAGGGTTTACCCTTACCCCCCCACACACACACACACCTACCCTGTCCTGCAGTAGTGGAGGGCAGGCGAGGCTGGGCTGTGGTGGGCACATCAGCTCACAGGTGGGCATCATCATAGTACTCCACGTCCAGCTCGTCACGCTTGCTTTTGCCAGCTCTGCGCAGCGCTGCTGGCCGCTCCCGGGACACCCGGGTCCTGCGCCGAGGCTGCTTGGGTTTGATACCGTAATCTGGGGGGAGATTGGAGAGGGGAGAGGCCCGTGTTCAGCCCTAGGCAGCTCATAGGGCTGGGGACAACCACCTGCTGGAGGAATGAATGCAGGGAAGAGGGGAAAGGAGAGCAATGTACCGTCCACCAGGCCAAAATGCTTCTGCGGAAGCTCCAGGGGAGCAGAGAAGTCCTCAGGGATTGAGTAACTGTCCCTGCAGAGGAAAACCAGGGACAGGAGTGAGCTGAGACCCTTCAGTGCTTGCCCATGCTGGCACAAGAGCCTCCATGCACTGCCTGTCTTCACCCAGCCTGGCCAGCTCTCAAGGGCTTGGTGCCACGAGTGCCAGCCCACACCTGGGCCAGGAGACACAAGGTAGCTCTGCAGGTACTGAGCAGGGAGAGAGTCCTCACCTCTGGGACATGGGCTGTGGGAGGGCAGCCCCCAGCAGCAGGGCAAGCAGCAGCCAGCACCACATGGCACACTCTGATGCCAGTGCCACAGCAAGGTCATAGAAGTGCCACCCTGGTAGCCATGGAACACCAAGGTTACAGAGGAGCCACTGGAACACAGGCTGGGGTCCTCACCCAGGCACTGCTGCCTACCCTCTCCCAGTACCGTAATGTGCTGGTTTTGGGCTGCCCAAGCCATGCCAGCTGCTTACAGCCTACCCTATGCAGAGGCATGTCCCTCCATCCAACCAACCACAGCTCCAGGACTGTTTCCCCTGCCCCTCTACCACCAGCCTTTGCCTCTCTCTCCACCCTTCCAAAAGCAAACCCCTCACCCCTCCATCTCACTCCCTCACTCCAGGAATGAACACCTCCCACCAGCACTTCCCAGACTTTGTACTCTTCAGCATCTTCTGGGCTAAAAGCCCAGATGAAGGGCACCCATGCCCTGTTCATGGCTATTCCACACTATTGCCACATTACAGGGCATCACTGCCAGCTGAGGTAGCAACACAGACCCCACACGCTGCCAAAGCCATGGAGTCCCCAGCTGCAGTAGCCCATTTCAGGTGGTGGAGGGGGTGGGAGCAGGGTACACCCCCTATGTCAGGCATGAAGGCAAAAAGGCTGAGACCTTTGCAGCCTCAGAGTCCCTCAGGGAGGGTTCAGGTCCCTGTCACCCACGTGAGGCCAATACACCCAGCAGTTTCCAGACACCAAGCTCCGCATGGTGCCAGCAGCTGCCTGTGGAACAATCCAATGCCACCAGCTGCCTGCCCCTTTGTCCTAGCCAAGGGAGACTCCACACCAGCTCATTCACTAGACTGATGCCCCAACTGCCCCCCGTATAGCAGAGCAGATACAAAAAGATAGGCATGGCTGTCCAGACCCCTCCTAGGCTCTTCAAGTGTGGTACAGCAGTATTTGCTGAATTAATCTCCTCATTTCTCCTCTGCCCTTGGCCAAGCCTCCGAGCTCTGGCTGGCAGCCATTCTGGAAACCCTTTTAGCACAGAGTAGGTACTAGGAAAGCAGCCTGCAAACTGCAACTCTCCATGTCCCCAAGGGGAATCCCAGGTGCCTGGGACTGTAACCTGGAGTTACAGAGGCTCCAGTCATTGGATGAGCAATGTATGTGGGGCCCTGCCTGACACAAGCCAGGAAGCAAAAGGCTTCTAAGGAATAGCATAACCCAGGGAAGACAACTGCAAAAGATGCTCTTTCTGAGAGAGACAGACCTGCTGGCAACCAGATACATGGGGACCCCACGCAAACAGGGGAAGAAACATCCTTCAGCTCAGTTCTCTCCAGTCAGTCAGTTTATTTGACAGACAAGCCTGCTCCAAGCAGACTGGCCAAGCACGGCCAACACAAGCAGGCTGCAGGTCAGTCTTGGCTCCAAGAGGTGGGAGACAAAGCTCTCCAAAAACCACCATGCTGCCTCGTTTTAATATAGTGCAGCCGCACAAAAGGAGAAAAATCAAGTGCTTAAAAAAAGAGGCTGTCCCATCACCATTGCTGCAGCTGTGGAACGGTCCAG